GGCCGGAGGGGTTGTGTTGCGTTGATGAAGGTCTTCTGTAGGGGGGTCCCCCCAAAACAACCGTCCTGGATAAACCTCCAGGTGGAGGCAAACTCTTAGGGGCTGGTTGAGTTACAAGAGGAACGCTTCAATGTGAAATGAGGGAAACTTCATCGCCGAGAAGAGTCCTCTGCGGCCTGGGGGTCTGTGCCCTTTATAGTTCAGGTCTATGGAAGAAACCGCCGTAAGTAGTTGTTCTTATCTTTCCACACTGGAACGTGCCTTGTGTCCGGCTGGTGGAGAGATGCTTGTGGGGGTGGGCGTTGCATAGTTGCAATTGCAAATCAAGGAGTGGGAAGAGGCAAAAATCAAGAGTATTCCGGCAGTGTATGTATTTTCTGAAATATCTAGGCTATCTGGTCATATTAATTACTACATGGGTTGGGTTTTTTTTGAGTGTTTATCATTTGACTTCTTTCTGTGTGCATGCATAACGATGTGAAACCATGAGTTTTTGCTTTAAATGTGACACTGTCGTCTTAGTGCACAAAATAATTTTGCTTTAATCACATTTGATCTTATTAAATTTAATCGTCTATTTAAATTGCAACAGTTCTTTCTTGGATGTAGTTATATACTACGTATAATGTAGTTGTGTGGTACACAGAATGTAGTTACACAGTTTACATATATACTTACTGTCTTAGAACTCCAAGTATTTTACTCTTGCTTCCTGTTAATTTAATGAAAAACCTAGGGACTACACAATATAAATTGGTGGTAGAAGATAATAAATCAACTTCTACATTCTACTTTAAAACATTTACATTTTACATTTAAAACCTTTAAAGTTCTTTAAAACAGCTTCCTGCGGGATGACAGGACTTGGGAAGAATGCAGTGTTGAACTTCTGTTTTTCCCTCCAATAATACATCAAGTAACAGTATCTACTACTTGAAAACTTTGACCAAGAATCGATTAGTAGTTGTTATGCAGAGTGTTTTTAGCAGGCAATGGGAGGAGGAGGGACAGGCCTACGCTGTAGTTTCAGGCTGACAGTGCTGCACGTCTCAAAGAAAGGAAGTAGGACAGGCATCAGCGAGGGTTTAAGAGAAGAAGTGGGAATGTCTGAGGAGTAATCAATGTTACCACCACCAGTGCAAAGCTTGGGATCTGGTGATATCAAAGGATTGAAAATAAAACTTGAAGTTAGCATAATCTACAAGATTATTTTTTGGAAGATCTGGGATTTGTTCTAACTTTATTACCAAGCTGGAAGTGTGTGTCTGGCCTAATTGAAAGTGAGGAGCTGTTTATATCCTTAGATTCAGTCAGGAAGAATTAGAAAGCCAATGAGAGGACTTCTAAACTCTCTGGCACGTTTTTATACTTCTCATGTTTTTTGAAGCTTATTTCTGGAAATTTGAATGTGATGAGAACTTGATGGATTTGTTTCTTTAGTGGGAAGGAAGATACTAACTCAGGTTTTCATAAGATACTAACTCAGGTTTTTCATAAATGTGCATATATATCCCATTTATCCATTGTTTTTTTACAGTTTTCTGATTGTTTGGCATTCCCAACTATTTTGCTAGGCCACCCCCTTTTTCTGCAAGTCTAGAAGGAGTACAGATTACTTTTTGTGGGCTGAATTTTTTGATGCCTGCCTTGGATGCAGTAGTGGCTTGGGATGGACATGCCATGTTTACTTGGCAAAATAGATGTGAGCACTAGACTTCTTTACTTTGGTGCTTGCTGTCTACAGGAGCAGCTACTGACAGGGATCTGTTGCCATGATATATCTGTAGTGCAAGACGTTCATCTAGAGGTAGCAAGAATTTCATATGAACACTTCGAAGCTGCATGAATGTCCTAGAATCCCAGTGTTCTCTCACAGGTGTAGGGCACTTCTATTCCTCATTTCCCAGTAAAGGAACATACAACATGGTTGTGTGTTGTGTAAATCTTTAAAACAGCCCTTTAGAAAGTAGCAGTGATGATGCCCAAGTGACAGGCTAGGCCACTGTGGCTTTTAAATGGGGATGCTGTCAAAATCGCCAGCTTTTCTTGTTTGACCAATGTACTGCAACAGTAACAGAAGACTTCTACGGAGGAGTCCTTTTCAGAATAGTTTTGTTTACTTTTTAAAATAATTTAGAGTAGGTGTTCTGATTTTATACTGAACAATTTGTATAGTTGACACAGTGTTTTCTTGCATCTGGATTTCTAACTGTATTTCAGATGCGCTTTATACTTCTTTCCTTCACTAAAAATGACATTCACTCTTGAAATAGTCAGTTACAAAATTTGCCTCCGAGTCTTGTAATTTTCCCCTGCTATTATTGTTGCATTTTTTCTGTATAGATTGGCATACTCAAGTATGAGGAGATAGATTGTGTACAAGTGAAAAGGAAGTAGCTAGAGATGCATTTCTGTCAAAAACATAGTTTTTAATCTTGCCCATCTCCTGCACGCTGCTGCCAAATAAAAGGCCTCTTAACAAGCATGGAGCTTGTTAATTAATGTTTTCCAGTCCTTTCTTTAAACTCATGCAGTTTAATTTTCATTGAAATTTAAGTTTTGTGGGAAGGGAAAAACTTGTTTTTAAAACATGAACTGTCTGTGAAAAATTCGCTGGTTTTAATTTTTGTGTCAGTGGGCATGTAAGGTCATATAGATGACATTTGTCAAGTTCCTCCTGAAAATGATGGGACAAAAGTGTAAGTTCCCTTGGGTTTTATTGGTAGAAAACTAAATGTAAGTACACAATACAACAATGTAAGCTGTCTTAAACTTGCTTCTACTTGAGTGAACGGTGTAAAGCAGTGTAAATGTCTCAAGGCTTTCACATGCCACCTCTATTTCTGATGACTGCAGTGATTTCTCTTACTAGCTTCTCTTTTAATATTTCAGTGTAATTGATCCCAGCCATTCTTTTTAAATGTTTCAATGTGCTAGTTCTTCTGCAAAATAAACCACATATATTCATGTTTCATGGAGCAGCTGTCCAGTTTTCCATAACTCATGATAGTAATTGAAGGAGTTCTATTCTTTAGTCCTGCTTTATTCTTCTTTGTTAGCTTTCAGGTTTTTTTTATGCCTACCTCTGTAGTGCATCGCCAATTTACTTTGTAAAGTCCACACATAATGACCTTACGACACTAAACTCAGTTCGTTTTTTAATGTTGGGGGGAAAAACACGTATCTCTTGCTCTTTCAGATCTCAATTCAGATTTTTCTGATCTTTATGCTAGAATTGGTAGTCTTGGGTGCCTCTCATTGTTTCTAAATTTTTCTGCATTTGGTTATGTGGAGTTTTGCTGACATACTCAATAACACGTAAGATTCTGATTATGCTAAGTATGAATGTTTTCTCACATCAAATGGATTTATTGTGCTGGTTTTGGCTGGGATAGAGTTAATTTTGTTCATAGTAGCTAGTATGGGGCTATGTTTTGGATTTGTGCTGGAAACAGTGTTGATAATACAGGGATGTTTTAGTTATTGCTGAGCAGTGCTTACACAGAGTCAAGGCCTTTTCTGCTCCTCACACCACCCCACAGTGAGTAGGCTGGGGGTGCACAAGAAGCTGGGAGGGGACACACCCGGGACAGCTGACACCGACTGACCAAAGGGATATTCCATACTATATGATGTCGTGCTCAGCATATAAAGCTGGTGGAAGAAGAAGGAAGGGGGGGACGTTTGGAGTGATGGCGTTTGCCTTCCCAAGTAACCGTTATGCGTGATGGAGCCCTGCTTTCCTGGGGATGGCTGAACACCTGCCTGCCCATGGGAAGGAGTGAATTAATTCCTTGTTTTGCTTCACTTGTGCATATGGCTTTTGCTTTACCTATTAAACTGTCTTTATCTCAACCCACGAGTTTTCTCACTTTTACTCTTCCTTCCGATTCTCTCCCCCTTCCCACTGGGGGGGAGTGAGCGAGTAGCTGTGTGGTGCTTAGTTGCCGGCTGGGGTTAAACAATGAGATTTATAAAAGTAAAATTCTTTGCTAGGATGTATTTTTCTTGTTTAAGAGACTAGGTGTTATGCAGAAAGTCAAACCTTCTTGGAACAAGAAAACCCTTTTGACAACTCTTGTCCCAGAATTGTAGTTTAGTTAGTCTTCCTGCTTTCAGGAACAGCTGTCCTGGAAAACTACTGAAATAGCCCATAGTCACTACCTGATGATTTTCTAGAGCAAACAAAAGCAGAATGACTTTCTCCCCAAGTTTTATACTTGTTTTCTACACATCTCCTTTGGACTTTCTCACAGATACATATACACACACATATATATAGACATACATATATAGATATGGCACTTGCATCTTGTGGCCCGAATAGAACAGTGCCTGAATTTACTGATTTATTTTTTCTGTTTTAAATGCATGTGTTATGAAAGTAGAGGACCCATGAGGGAGAGGAATGAGACACCTTTTTTCTCTCTGATTGTTATTGAGCCCTTTGTCTCTTCAGTTGTGCCTCCCCCCCACCCCCTTGTATTTCTAGTTATGCCTTAGCAGATAGGTATTTTGCTGGGTGCTCATAGTATTCACTTCCCATATAGAACACTTTAATGCTTTTAAAAAAGCAGTGATCATTCTGAAATGTTTGGCTCTATACATCTTATCTTGCATGTTTTCAGAGTGTGGATAGTAGGGGACACATACACACAAACAACTCCTGATTAAGAAGCTGATTCTGAAGTTTTAGATATGTTCCTCTGTACCAAGTTTTAGTTGCTTTTTTTTCACCAGTATAATAAGATAATATTTCTGGTCTTTTCTTGTATTCTACTTAGTGCTTTACAGCCAGTTACAACAGTTGTCTTCCTCCTCCTTGCTTCTCATGAAGTTTTCACAAACACTTTCTTTATTGCAATCCTGTCAGGGTATGTTGCATGCTGTTCTGTAGGTAGAGCTGGGAATTGTATTAAACTTCCAGAAATAGAAATGATTAAACAGTCTGAGTCATTAGGATCTTTCTGTGGTTCAAAGAGCTGAGGTGTTAATACTGTCACTTGAACACTGGACCTAACATCTGTACTCTTACACTATATTTGTGAAGGAGTGTGAAGTACTTTGAGCAGTGTATTTAGTGATGAAATTCCTGAGGTTGATGTATCTTTCTTCCTCTAAGTAGGTTTAGTATTTAGCTGCCTTAGTGTTAAGTATTATTTGGTCTCATAACATGTTTGTCAGCATTGGATAATGTGAAAATAGTTTTAAAACTACAGAATGCCTATTTCTTTGGTCTCCAGGTTGCCTCTTAAGTACTCCAGATAATCTGTTATTTGACAGTGACATTAGTTTTGATCAGTTTATGGCTGTTTGTGATTGTTTCCCTAGTTCTTCTCAAGCACTCGCAATGCCTTGGCGTTAATGATGCTGCTGGAACCATTTTGGTATGGATTTTTTTTTTTCTTCCCCTTCTCATTTTAGCGGGCATTGCTCTCTTGATGAGCAGGTGAAAGTGTTATCTTCTTAGACATCTTTGGTTGAAGTTACTGTATGTTTTCTCTTTTCTTGCAGTTACTAAAAGGTTCAGTCCCTCCACAGCTCTTTGATCAAATGAGAGACTCAGCTAATGGTCATGCTTTTTATTTTTTGAGGCTCTGCTGGTATCATAAGCATACTGTGCATGCTTTTTGTTGGTGGCAAGCAGAGGATGATTGCAGTAACTTATTCTGTGAACGCTGCCTTTAAGACTGCAGATAACCTGATCAGAGGGGGAAAAAAGAATTTGAAACAAAAGAAGGAAAATGAATGATTTATTTCTTTAATACCTACCTGCAAAATCTTTTTTTTTCCCCTCTTCTTTTTATTTGCTCAACTTACACTTGTTCAATAATGAAATATGTGCTTTCCTGCAAGATTTAAGTTCCATCTTTCTGCTTTCTAGTCCCTAACAAGCAGAGAGAGGGTGAAAAAGAAAGCAGAGTTGTTATGTGTTCCTGTGTTTGATTTGTGGATCGCTTTTGCAGACTTTATTTAGCTGCCCTCATTTGAGTTTTCTGCTGTTTTTCTTCGTGTTCGTGAGTTGTGCCTTTCCTTTGCTGTGGAGATTTTTATTCTCCCTTAAACGCACATGCTTTCCAGCTTCCTGCCTGTTTGCTGTAGCAAACTGCATGGTCTTTACAGCAGTTCATGCACCTTTCCTTACTGATTGTGGATGCTTTTTGTATTCATATAACTGCTACATCTGTGAAATAGTTCTTTGATATATAAATGTGTACACCCTCCTGCCTCCCTTGCTTTCCTTGTTTGACACCAATCCATATGACCTGTGTGCTTATACAGTTACTTTAAATGTTTGTCTTTACTTAGGTGGTTGGCAGTAACAAGTCTCTTCTGACTCAGGAATTCCTTCAGTCATTTCACTGTATTTTTTTATTAGTTCTGTATATCACAGAATCGCATCTCTTAATATGAAGGAGTTTCTTTTGAACACTGTTATTTGAATGTTAGATTTGACAATCTTTTCTGTCTGTGCCCTCCTCCCTTCCCCTATTTTGTATTCATTTCCAGGAAAGTGTCACAGGATAACGTATTTTCCATAAGTTCTCAATGATCTGCTGTGCTTCAAAGTTTCTTTTTTTTCTTCCCTTTTTCCTTCTCCTGCATATGGAATACATTGTCTATATCGAACACTACAGCACCAGCTATTCTTCAGCTCATCTTCTACTTTAATAGTACCCTTGGCTACCATACAGAGTTAACTTGTTATTTCAATCTTGCAGCAAAATTCCCTTTAACTTTTAGGGTGAAGGATTTACATGTTGCAGCCACCCGGCCTCACCGCAATGTGTGTGTGGTTATATTTTCATGTGCTATGTTCAGTGTCAGCTCCATTGCAAGCTTGCAGCCAAGTTGTGTTCTGAGATCTGCCAGGAGTCTGGGGGGCTGGGTAGATGGGAATGCTGGAGACCAGGGAAAGGCTAGGACTGCTTGTAAAGGACAAAGGATAGTGGTAAGAGTGGGTTGAAGGTGCTGGGAAAAATCATAGGGTGATACTGAGTGATTTGGGACTGTATGACAGAGAACTGGAGGGCAAACTATGGTGGTGGTATGTACTTGGAGATTTTGTTGCACCTGTCCCTATGTACATTCACGCAGATTCGAAAGGGACTGCCCCAACAACTCTTAGAGTACTCAACTCTTGGAAGCTCAGTGTTCTGCTACCACCTGTGAGGGTCAAGTGCTATGATATGCTCCCAGAGTCATCTTGACTCTGGGTTCTGCTTTTAACTTGATGTAATTCACTGGCTTATGAGTGGTATAGTTTAGAAAGTGGGTACTTCATGTGAGTGAATAATTGGTTTATACTTTCTCAGATAACAACATAGCGTACTCTAGGCAGTAATGAGCATGTGTTTGCATGCTGGCTGCTTTTTGATGAAAGGTGAGCTTTACTGTATTCTTTGTCTGTTTCTACTTTAGCAAAGGAAGTGGTTTGGACAGTGAATTGGTCCCATGCTGCTTTGAATTGAGCAAACATTAGTGGGAAAGTGATAATGACAAAAATTGTTATAACTTTCTCCATCTTATATGATCGTTGATTAAAATTTTATTACTGCACTTTAATTAGGCATTTTATTTTCATTGGAATATGTTTTTCTTTATAATCTTTTTTTCTGTCTGCTCACTTGTATGAAAATTTGCTTGAGTTCTGTGTCTGTTCCCCCTCAAACAAACAAAAAACTTTTGTCTTTCTTTTAGCAAACTGAAAAAGCTAAGTGAAGATAGTTTAACTAAGCAGCCTGAAGAAGTCTTTGATGTTCTGGAGAAACTTGGTGAAGGGTAAGTTCAGCTATTTATGAGGGGGTGGGATCAGAGGGAAACAGTATATAAAGCATGTGTTGGAATATTAAGTTACAGGGAGAGTGACTGTAAATGTCCTAAGGAATGCTTCTCTAGACAAGCTTTACTAAAAAAGCAAATGCATGCATCAGTAGACTTCCATGCTTCCCCAAATATATTTATACATTTTTTTAATGTCCATTATTAAGGCAGCAAAGGTGGTTGTGCCTGTACTGGAGTTAGATACACTACATCTTGACAAATATTCATTCTTCAGAGGCACGTCTTTCCTGAGTTCCTGATAGAACTGAATTTTTTGCAGCCTGAAAAAACCCTCAAACTTCTGCATGAACATATGGCTTCTGTGACTTTTTAAAGTTTCACCGTAATGGAAATGAGAAGCAGTTTATCTTGTTTAAAAAAAAAAAATTCCCTCTCTTATTTTTAGGTCTTATGGTAGCGTGTTTAAAGCAATACACAAAGAGTCTGGACAAGTTGTAGCAATTAAACAGGTCCCTGTGGAGTCAGATCTTCAAGAAATAATTAAAGAAATCTCTATAATGCAACAGTGTGACAGGTAGGTGTGACAATTCTGCTCCCTTTTTAAGAGTCTATGTGAAACTGTATTTATACTTGGGAATATAGCTGAAATATATGCAGCCGCAAACTTTTTTTTTAAGATGGAAAATTAAAGCAATCTGTGTTGGACAATTTACTTAAAGGAATCACTTTGTGGACCTCCTCCTATCCTGAGCTTGGATTGAAGGAAGTACACATAGTGTACGTAACAGGAACTGTTGAAAGAATAAGTACTTGCCTCTGCTTAGAATTCTCCATGCTTGCTTCACTTTACTTGCACTGGCAAGCTCGAAGGTTCATATTTCCTGTAAATGTCTTAGGCCTTGTGAATTCCAAGTTACCCGTTTCAGAAGATCGATAAAGATGTTTTTAGCACAAGATTAATGGCTAGCAGTTAACTTCCAAAATAGTAGTCTATCGGTTGCCTGTTTCATGTAGGAACATACTTTTAAAAAAGTGAACAATCTTCTAATAGGAAGAAGGACTGTTATCCTTGTTCACAAGCGATATATCTTATGATTGCTAGTATCGTAGGAATGGAAGCCTTAACGTCGTGTCTGCAAGGATGCAGAAATTACTTTGTGTTTCCTCTCTTCTATGGAGCCATCAGTTTTTTTTATTTGTATATTTTTTGGGAATAATCTTTTAAGGTTTTGGCTGTAACTTCTAAGTCACGTGCTAGGGTGAGTCTTTATTCAAGTCTGATCAGTGGTACAAGAGTCTATTGTTTGCGACTCGAAATGCAAACAGGAAGGCTTTGCACTCTAGTTAGGAGAAACTTTCTTTAAAATATTGATTGCTGTAGTCATTAACTTGGTGAATTGTATTATAGCAAGTGGTCTGTTATTTCTCAATTGTGTTTGTGCTTTTGTGGTGTGTTAATGTTGAAGTTCTGTCTTTAAATGAAAAATTTGCTCTTGTTTTGCAATGAGCAGTACTCATCCCAGATTTAAAGATAATCTTTTTAATGCAGTCTCAATTAATTAAGATTTGTTGCTGAATGTTTTGCTCAGGTGTTACATGGAGCTTGATTGTACTGCTCCACAGCATCTTGTCTACGGGGTCATGAAGGAGGAGAGAAGGTTCAAATATTTATCCTTAAATATAGGGATAGAGACCTCAGAGTACATTATATCTAGCACATGAGAATGCAACTGTTCTTCAGACTTCTTTAGAACTTCTGCCTGCAAGCCCTGATCTGAGTATTTGTGACCTGTGAACACAATGGACCTTGTAATCCATTCCCTTCTGGCATTGACTGCTCCGAACACTAGAAACTTGTTAAATGTGCAGGCAGGGGAATGGGAGGAAAAGGAAGGATTTATGTTTTTTCCCACATTCCACAAAGATGTGTGTGATAAGGTTATTTCAGGGGATACTGAAACAATTTGGGACCCTTGAGTTTTGTTGGGGCGCCTCTTAATCCTTTTCATCCCTGTGAGACTGTTTTTGTCTGTCTGGTCAGTTGGAGTTTTGTAACAGGTACAGATTAAAAAGGAAGCAGCAATCTTGTTTGTCTAATTAATTTAATGGAACTACATTTGATCCCCAGAGTAGGTCCTCAGCTCTTCCTGTGTGCTGGAAAAAGAATTAAAATCTGTTTACTTTGATTCGTCTTGTTGCTGTGCTCTTAATTCTTTTTATCTCCCCTGCTTAATTTCGTTTGCCTTACATAAAGGAAGACATTGAGTAAGTTGGAAGACAGCAGCTCATGAATTCTCAGAAAGAGTTCTTCTGTGGGGTCAGTGATAGGATAGCAGCCCTTAGTTGCTGCACAGGCTTGAGCCATGTGAGCTGACTGGAAACAGTGGTGTAGGTTGTGTGTGTATGTCTGTTAGTACTGGATGGGGATTGAAACAGATACTTAAAATAAATGTCTGTGAAACATAGTGGCAAAGAAAAGAAGTGATGATACTTGAGAATCTTCTAAATTTTTCACCTTTCTGTACTATGCTTCTTGTGCTGTTTTCATCCTTGTCCTAGGTGGGCCTACTCACTGTCTTATTCCTGTGTCCCCTGTTCTGCCCCCCTTTTCTCTGCCCTTGTTCTTTGTTTCCTGCTTTTCTTTGAACAACGTGGTGCATTTAGTATTTACTGGACATGTACTAGTGTATAATTTTTTTTTTTAAGAGTAAAAGTTTGGAATTTTAGAACATAAACTTTTCGTTCACTGGAAAAGATGCAGCCATTCCCTGGTCAAAAAAAAAGGGTTGGCTGCAGCTCCGCACAGTGTGCTTGTGTATGTGTCGTGTGCCTTTGTGCAAATACACTGCTGTGCAGTACTGATGGGAGGGATGGGACTTTATTTTCACATGTGATGATTCCACAGATATTACAGAAAAGCACTGAGCTGTTGCCGGATCTCGAATAAAAGATGATGAAATCTTAACACTTTACCCTTTATTTCTTCTCAATGTCTGTTTCTAGAACTAGCTACGCTGTATATGCTGAAGGTCTCCTAAGGGGAAAAATGTAGATTTTAAGATAAGCAGTTGATATGGAAAAGGCTGGCCCATGTAGTTAACTGGGACAAGGCTTTAAGCAAACATGAACAGTGTTTTGAGATTGCACAGCACTTGATGTTTTGAAAAGATTATCTTGTCCTGATTTGTAGTAATACACACAATTTTTGCTGGGAATGCTAGCATAGTGTAAATCTAGCAAGAGATGGTCATGAAAATTAGTGGGTTTTCTTCAGAAGTAATAGTAACCTTCCTCACTTCAGGTATTTATAAGGGGCAAGATCAGTATGTCGTACTTGTTTGGTAGGCATTTTTGACTAGTTAAGAGGGAGTTGACCCACCTTGCCTTCTGTAAAGGCAAGTTCCTATAGTACTAACAGTCGCTCTTTAATGAAGTAGTTTACTGATGGTTTTGACCTATCTTTTATGAAGATAGCATCATGTTGCAGGAGGCAACCATAGGTCTTTTTCTTATATTGGTTTTCTAACAAAAAATGTTGCTGCCAAACATGCTGTTCCTAAAATACAATTCCTTGCTCCAGAACAAAATAGTGTTTGATTCCACCCCACAATGCAGGTGTTCTGACCAGAAGCCACTGTCTGAGTTCTCAGTATCTTACTTCCTGACTTTGTGGGAGATGGATGGCAATCTAACTGTAACCTCCTTTGCTTAAGTTCCTGCAAAAAACCTCCAACCTTTTATTTCCATAAATACATCATCTAATCACTTTTCTGAAGGAAGATCCTTGTTATGTTTACCTCATCTGTCTCTGCCTTTCTTTTGCAAGTGCCTCCGAGGAAACATTATGTCAAGTGACAAACTGATGAGTAGCAAAGCACTATGTTCTGTTTGTGACAGTACTATCTCTTCACATGAGACACTTCAATATGAAAATGCATTTGCAAATCCAGAAGTCTTGTTCAAACCAACACTAGATTCTGTTTCATATGGAAGTCTAGATCTGTACTTGAAGTAAGTTCATGCTTGCAAAACCAGGAAAACATGGGTGAGTTTCCATGTTTTTTTTCCTCAGGAGAGAAGAAAACAAGGCAATCTTTTCAAGAAGGGAAACATCCAATAACTTTGAGGAGAGTTAAAAATCAAGAGGCCTTAGAGGAGGGAAAAACAAAGCTTTATATCAGAAGACTAATGTTTGGGAAAACTATGTCTGTATTTGAAGATCACTGAAAGCTTGTGATATATATGGTAGTGCCTTTATAATTTTATTAAGCAGTCAGACTTCATTCTAACAAGGCAGTGGTTAAGCTAATTACAGTTTTAAAATGTATTTGATTACAGTTGCTCTTTAGCTGTGTTAGTGTGTGTCAAACTGTAATTTTTAACAACACTTGTGATGATGATTTTTTTTTTCCCTACTAAGAGTTCATCTATGTATCTAACTTTTTTTTCCATCTAGTCCCTATGTTGTCAAGTACTATGGCAGCTATTTTAAGAACACAGATCTATGGATTGTTATGGAATATTGTGGAGCTGGCTCTGTTTCGGACATAATTAGACTTCGTAATAAAACGGTGAGTTTTTTCAAAAAATGTATAACGCTTATTAAAATTAAACTGTGAATTACGACTAGAAGCCAGAATAAAAGCCAGAGTTACGAGGCAAGATCTTGGCTGATGCCTTGGTTCTTCAGGAAACAAGCTCATGCAGTTGCTCTGATTAGCTGTTTGTCCATTCTTCTGTGGAGTGATCAGCAGCAGAAGCAAATGCATTTTGAAATATGAAGATCTTGGAAGTTTCTTGAAAATTACTGCTTTGTACAAGGCAAAACTGTGTGGCTTCTTCCCCCTACCCCTTCCACTTCACAGTCTGTCAACAGGCCACTTAGTACATGCATGGCTTGAAAACAGGCATAGAATTGTCTTGCTCCCACTCAGTAATTGGGGACCATGAGAAGTAATTGGCATTACTCAAGGAATGAGAAGGGGAAGAGATGCCAGTTAAGGAATGTAAGATGGAACCGAAATGGAGGGTTGTATGGAAGAGTCTTAACGGGCTTATAACAGCGGTAATGTAGAGGAGGATGCAAACCTGTAGGAAACAGGCTTTGTTAGTTCTACTTAAGAAACAGTTTCTGTGAAAAATGTTTTCTTGTAGATGTCAAATAATCTTTAGTTCTTTTGAGTCCATTGTTTTCAGTAGTGGGCTGTAACAGAAGGTATTCATTTTACCAACAATTGCTGTGAGATGACCCTCTACTTGCTAGCTCTTTACATTTGTAAGCACGCCCTGAAATGTTCCTTGCACCATACCTGGGAGCAGAGAGGGAAAGAAAAGGAGAGAGAAACAATCTTTAGGCTTAGAAAATAAGATGTAAACAGAAATGGAATTAGCTTTATTAGGAAGTGGGGGTGATGTCCAGACTAGAGGGAGCCTCTTTGGGAAAGGTGGCTTGCATCAGGGCTGCTGTAATGTTGAACTGATGACTGGGGAGAAGCCAAAACCAATGGGAGATTGCTGGAGTTCCTGCAACCTTTAGAACTGCTCTCCTTACACTTGTATGTTATCCAAGGGTTAGGAGAAGAGTCAGTAGCTCCAATAAGAAATGGTGCAAGCTAGTCCAGAATTAAAAGGGGAAAAAAAAAAAAAGTCCTATTTAAAACAGGATTTGGAGAGATTGTATTCCTAGTA